AGTTGTCTCCAACTCATTATGCATTAATAAAAGCCTGGCTTGAAGTCAACTTCAAGATTGCTTGCACATTAGATTACTAAAATTTCCAAGAAGCATAAGAAAACTGACTACATGAAGAGTTCCTTTCCTTTACAAAGAAATTGACTTAATTCTAAGTAAACCTTAATCAAAATGCAAGTCTGTGCTTCTAAAGCTGTTTTTATTAGCCCATAAATAGTTACAGATGGAAAAAAAAAAATAATTACAGTTTCTTAAGATTATGCTGACAATCATACTGTGGGTTTTGAATTGGGGAGGGATTAGGAATCAACAAATCTTAACTTCCTAGTCATTCTATGAATTAACAGGGACATTTACCACTAATTCTGGACCAGCTGCAAGGTAGTTATGAATTACACAATCAAGCTGCAAGAATTTTTTTTTTAAAGAAAAAAACCCTATATTTGTATAATATATATATGAGGATAAAATACAGTAAATTTTGAAAACATCACAGTTACTTAAGCTTCAGAAACATCATGGTATTTTTTGATTGACCAAAAGCCCAAATGTTTCTATTTTTAATACAGAAGGACAAGTAGGACATCAATTCTAAAATATTTTTTTAAAATCTAAAGTTAAGCCTACTGTACGACCAAATAGTTAATAATAACTTGAGAATTGTTCATGCCTGAAAATTCTAGTACATAAACTGTAAAACTAAGTCTTGAAATAATGGCTAGGACACATTCCCCCCCCCCTTTACTAATCAAATAATAATATTTCTGATCAAACAGAGAACTACCAATGAAGCAGTACTAATATTTACAGCAGTAATCATTCTCTGATTTTAACAAAATCATGGACATGAATGTTTCCTTTTCTCTAAATGCATAAACAGTAATTTTTATGTAATTAATAGCACGTACCATACCATTTTCACCATACCATTTTCTTTATAAAGATCTTAACACTATAAAACCATTTGCAAGTCTAGGCTGTGAGAAGTTTTCCATCTCTAGAATAGAACAGAATTGCTAAGGTTGGAAGGGACCTTTAAGATCATCAAGTCCAACCATTAACCTACCATGACAAAACCACCTCTAAACCATGTCCCTAAGTACCACATCTACCCTTTTTCAAAACACTTCCAGGGATGGTGAATCCATCACCTCCCTGGGCAGCCTATTCCAATGTTTAATAACCCTTTCAGTGAAAAAATGTTTCCTAATACCCAACCTAAACCCCCCCTGGCTTTGTAGCCCCTCTCTGGATACGCTGCAGCACCTCAATGTCCTTCTTGTAGTGAGGGGCCCAAAACTGAACGCAGCACTCGAGGTGGGGCCTCACCAGTGCCGAGTACAGGGGGATGATCACTTCCCTATTCCTGCTCACCACCCTATTCCTGATACTATTCCTCTACAGGCACAGCATCTTTCTAGGCCAGTCACACCTACATTCCCTCCATAAAGACGATGCATAGTAGAGTATTTTCTGAAGAGTGAGACAGAGGACATGTCAAAAAGCGTGCATTTTATGTATGCAACTAAATTCCTGAAATACAGTTGAAATATAGTTGTAAAGTAATACTAATGTCAGCACTTCACAACTTTTGAGTCTTCAGCTTTTTCGAGTTCAAAGAATGTATAACAGGTTTTGCTGTATGATGAGTACTTGCTCATACACATGTGGCTTTGTACATATACATATATACTCAGTCTCACACACACAGGCATGAGAGGAAGTAGAAAGGTTAAGGACCATCACAGAGCCTGAGAAAGATACAGACTGGTGGACCCATACTCTACCTTTCCTGAGACAGAAATGGGACCAGTCACTAGGAAAAACACGAGATCAAGGGGATCCTGTATCCTCCCCCCGACAGGCTGAAGGCAGTAGCTTAAAGGAGAGAAGTGCATGGAGGCAAGTGCATGCTTGGTGCAGCAGGTGAACCCCCTCCTTGCCCCGCTCGCCTTCCCATGTGCCTCTGTACAACAAGTATGAGGATCTGCTAATGGAAGGCCAGTCGATAGATGATGTGGATGACGGTCCACCTTCACCAGAGGTTGCCCAGGCGTCCTCCCTGTATCATGACAACCGCCACAAGGAAGAAAAGACAGGTTATAGCTGTAGGCAACTCCCTTCTGAGGGGAACAGAGGATCCAATATGCTGGACAGACCGTCCTCTTAAGGAAGTCTGTTGCCTCCCTTGGGCCTGGGTTAAGACCATCACGAGGAAATTTCCTAGCCTGGTACAGCCCTCAGACCCATTAGTGCTCTTCCACGTGGGTGGCGATGAAGCCGCAATGCATAGTCCAAGGGTGATCAAAAGAGACTTCAGGGCCTTGGGACAGTTGGTAAGGGAATCTGGAGCACAGGTTGTATTTTCCTCTCTCCTTCCAGTTGCGGACAGCGACATTGGAAGAAACAGACAGACCCAGTCTATTAATACATGGCCCCATTTCTGGTGTCACTGCCACAATTTTGTGGTTTTTGATAATGGAATGGCCTACATGGACCAAGGGCTGCTGGCATCAGATGGGATACACCTTTCCCAAAAGGGGAAGAGGGTCTTTACTCACACGCTAGCAGGGCTCATTGACAAAGCCCTTAACTAAGCTTGAAGAGGAAGTGGCATAATATCAGGCCTGCCTGTGACAAGCTGTGGGATGACATACCAAGGTTAGAGGAACAGGGTGCTAGTAAAGACCCTCTTGCTCTGAGTCGTGCTGACTGTGCTGCAGCACACTTGAAGTCTTACAGACATGAGCGAAGTGCTCCTGAGCGTGGATATCAATTGCTACAGACTGTTCAGAAGGGACAGGAGAGGAAGGAGGGATAGAGGGGTTGCACTCTACATCAAGAGATGGATAAAGCGTGAAGAGCTGTCTCTGAAGAATAGCCACAAGGAGGTTGAAAAGCTTGTGGGTAAGAATTAGAGACCAAGACAACAAAGGGAGCCTTGTGGTTGGTGTCTACAACAGGATGCCTGATCAAGGGGAAAATATTGATGAAGCCTTCTTACTCCAGCTACAGGAGGCATTGCGCTCGGAGGCTCTCGTCCTGCTGGGGGACTTCAACCAACACGATATCTGCTGGAAAAATAGCACCGCGAGCTGTGAGCAATCCAGGAGACTCCTGGAGTGCATCAAGGATAACTTCTTAAGACAGGTAATAGGCAGCCTCACCAGAGGAGATGTGATACTGGACCTGATGGTCACCAACGTAAGTGAGGTAATTGGTGACATCAAGATTGAAGGCAGCCTGGGCTGCACTGATCATGCACTGGCAGAGTTCACAGCCCTGAGGGTATTGATCAGGTGAAGAGTAAAGTCAGGACCCTGAATTTTAGGAAAGCAAAATTCCAACTCTTCAAGGAGTTAGTCAATAGGACTCCCTGGGAAACTGCCCTCAGGGACAAGGGAGAAGAACCAAGCTGGCAGATCTTTAAGAATGCTTTCCATAATGGGCAAGAGCTCTGGATCCCCAGGTACAAGAAATCAGAAAAGGAAGGCAAGAGATCACCATGGCTGAGTCAAGACCTGCTGGTCAAACTAAAGGGCAAGAAGAAAATGCACAGGCAGTGGAAGCAGGGACAGGTATCTTGGGAAGAGTATAGGGACACCGCCTGGTTTTGTAAGGATGGGTGGACTGTTCAGTGGATGAGGAAATGGTTGGATGGTCACATCCAGAGGGTAGCGGTCAATGGCCCAATGTCTAGGTGGAGATCAGTGAAAAGTGGTGTCCCTCAGGGGTCTGTACTGGCACCAGTACTGTTTGAAATCTTCATCAATGCCAGAGACAGTGGGACTGAGTGCACCCAAAGTAAGTTTGCAGACGACACAAAGCTGAGGAGTGTGGTTGACATGCGTGAGGGATGGGATGCCATCCAGAGGGACCTGGACAAGCTCAAGAAGTGTGCCTGTGTGAGCCTCATGAGGTTCAACAGGGCCAAATGCAAGGTCCTGCCACCTGGGTTGGGGCAACCCCTGGTATCAATACAGGCTGGGGGATGAAGGGATTGAGAGCAGCCCTGTGCAGATGGACTTGGGGGTAACTAGTGGAGGAAAAGCTGGACATGAGCCAACAATGTGTGCTCACAGCCAAAAAAGCCAACCGTATCCTGGGCTACATCAGAAGTGTGGCCAGCAGGTCAAGGGAGGTGATTCTTCCCCTCTACTGCACTCTGGTGAGACCCCACTTGGAATATTGTATCCAGCTCTGGAGCTCTCACCACAGGAAAGACATGGATCTATTGGAGCAGGTCCAGAGGACCCACAAAAATAATCAGAGGGATGGAACACCACTGCTGTGAGTACAGGTTGAGAGAGTTGGGTTTATTCAGCCTGGAGAAGAGAAGGCTCCAGGAACACCTTATTGTGGCCTTTCAGTATTTAAAGGGGGCTTATAAGAAAAACGGGGACAAACATTTTAGCAGGGCTTGTTGCGATAGGACAAGGGGTAATGGTTTTAAACTAAGAGAAGGTAAATTCAGACTAGATATAAGCAAGAAATTTTTCTACAATGAGGGTGGTGAGACACTGGAACAGGTTGCCCAGAGAGGTGGTAGATATGCCATCCCCATAAACATTCAGGGTCAGGTTGGACAGGGCTCTGAGCAACCTGATCTAGTTGAAGATGTCCCTGCTCACTGCAGGGGGAGGTTGGACTAGATGACCTTTAAAGGTCCCTTCCAAACCAACCTATTCTATGATTCTAATATATACATCAATTCAACAAAGAAACTTTCAGTGTAAAAGTATACATATTTTTAAGACACAAAAATGCTATTTCAGTTTTGACTGAAGAAACAACCAGGGAAAACAGCTGTACCTATTGGCTCATTTATAAGCAAGGCCATGGACCAACCTATTACATCCACATGAAACAACATCTATTCCCAAAGCATGAAATTACCGTTCTGTTAAACCATCTTGTTTGAGAGTAGGATAAAGCCACCTGTACTCAGACTCAGGAATAAGAAAGTTGAATATAAAAATAGAAGAATGAAAAATACGTACAGCTAATTTACGTAGATTGGTCAGCATTTCATTTTGATCTTTAAAGCCAGTTGTATGAATTTGGCTCACAGCATCCTCTTTCTCAGTCAGCCATGCATCAAAAAGGCACTGAAAGAAAATTGGAGAGGAGAGAATGAAAAGGTTTCAGTCAGGCCTTTCCTAGTACAATTTTTTGAAGAACATTCCTATTTATAACTGCTAAAACTACTTACCTGCTCTTCTGCAAAGTGCTGCCATTTACGAAGAATATCTTGCAGAAGGACCCATCGGTCTTCTGTCCATCTGCAGATGACTGCCCACCGTCTTCCAAAGTGCTAGAAAGAAACACAGAGGTTTGCATTTGTTTACTTTTTTTTTTTTTTTTTTTAAACAAGGCAATCAGATTCTCCTAGGACATTACAAATTTTTGTGAAAACCCTTTCACAATTCACTTTTTACAATCTTAAGCCTTAAAATATGTTGCACATCACAATAAAGTGGATCTTATCACTATTTGAAATGAAACCAAACCAGAGAGAAGAGGAAAAGCAATAGAGCCAAAAAGAGAGAATTTTAATACTAAACTACACACACATTTTTCTATTAAGTCTCTGGTACTACACTTTCAAAAAACCTCAGTTTCAAAGCTTTACAATGCCCAAACCATAACTACTTGAAATCTAATTATGGTGGCCCAAAGATGTGATCAAAGCAAAAAAGTATCTGGTTCTTAAGTGGCACCATCAGCATAATTGATTTAAGTTCTTACCTGTTTTAAATACTGCACTTGGGAAAAAGCCCCACCTTATAAGCTAATACACCAGCACAAATCCCACTAAGGATCCCCAGATATTTGTAGCATATGCTACTATATGAATTTTAAAATTAAACAAAACAATACCTTGTTCTCATTCCCCTATTTTAGTTGAAATCAAGCATTATTATTTTAACTTCCTACCAGTCTTTATTGAATAATGTTGAAGACAGAGGATGAGACTTAATATTGCTGTGATGGTGAGACATACTATAAAAACTTTATTGCAACAGTTTACAATGATTTAATTACCCTTGAGCATCATATGCAATATATTCAGTTCTTCCCAAATAAAAAACCTTATAAAATCTGCAAGATATTCTGTACTACTTCATTCTTATTTTTTTCACATCCTTCAAAAGCACATCTTGACAAAAGCAAAAATAGTTTCTTACTTTTTTCAAATTTATTTATTCACTCAATCCTTATGGGTCCCTTCCAACTTTACATATTCTATGATTCTATATTTTTCATATTTATGTATTTTTCATAGGGATTCTAATTTAATTTTAGCAAAAATGTAGCATCCAAATGTTGGATTTTTAAAACCAAGGGATTAAAATCCTAACTGTATTTTCTATCAGGAATGAGAGAACTTTATTTTGCACTGCCTAGCAAATGAAAGGTAAAATTTCAGGATGCCATCTGAATTTGTGGCTTTACCAATTTTACGTAAAAGTAAAAAAATCAACAGACAGCATGTTTTTCATTTAGTGAATGCTAAAACCGTAACGAATCTTGCAGACTAAACGTGCAGTTGTTATGCCGTTGAGATATATCATATTAGATATTGGCTCAATTTCAAAAAATGAAAACACCTCCAATCAACTAGCATAGTAATGCTAATTTTAAAACATGCATCTTCTTAAACAGCTCAAACATGTTACACAGTAATACAGAGAAGTATTCCTTTTCAGTCACTTACTGCATGAATATGAAGTAGCTTTTGAGGAAGTTGTTTTGTTAGCTTTTTTTAGGCTTAATGTTAGGATCATGGTTTTGGTATGCATTTGGAATTATGTAAGGGGTTATTTGCTTTCTTTCCTAATTAGAGCTCTTTTCAAGGACAACGCCCTAAATATTCTCTATTAGAATATGAAGCAAACAGAAACGAATTTGAGGTGTACCACCCCATAAAATACAACATCTACTTGAAGAAGGAATATCTACAAAATTCAGCCTGGTGTGAGATACAGACTCAGTCCTAGGATCATTAAATCTACACTTACATTGCCCCTTTTCTACTAACTGCAATTAGGTACAGTTACATATGAATATATACCATACATAACCACCCATAAATCATGCAATCATGCATACTGAATGTTCTGGTCATTGGTATATAACTAACATTTTCCTTGATGTCTATGACAGCAATAGCAACAGGCACACACATAGGTGCATTCATAGAAAGATAAAATGGTTTAGGTTGGAAGGGACCTTAAAGATCATCTAGTTCCAACGTCCCTGCCATAGGCAGGGACACTTTCCAGTAGAACAGATTGCTCAAAGCCCCATCCAACCTGGACTGGAACACTTCCAGGGATGGGGCATCCACAACTTCCCTGGGCAATCTGTTCCAGTGCCTCACCACACATTTGGAAATTTCTTCCAAATATCTAATCGAAACCCCCCCTCTTCCTGTTTGAAGCTATTCCCCCTCGTCCTATCACTACGTACCCTTGTAAAAAGTCCCTCCCCAGCTTTCTTGTAGGCACCCTTCAGATACTGGAAGGCAGTAATAAGATCTCCCTGGAGCCTTTTCTTCTCCAGGCTGAACAGCCCCAGCTCTCTCAGCCTGTCTTCATAGGAGAGGTGCTCCAGCCCTCTGATAATTTTCGTGGCCCTCTGGACCCACTCCAACAGGTCCATGTCCTTATGTTGGGGGCTCCAGAGCTAGACACAATATTCCAAGTGGGGTCTCACGAGAGTGCAGTAGAGGGGAAGAATCACCTCCCTTGACCTACTGGCCATGCTTCTTTTGATGCAGCCCAGGATACGGTTGGCCTTCTGGGCTGCAAATGCACTTTGCTGGCTCACATTGAGCTTCTCATCCACCAACACCCCAAGTCCTTCTCCTCAGGGTTGCTCTCAATCCCTTCTCCACCCAGCCTGTATTTGTGCTTGGGATTGCCTCAGCCCACATGCAGGACCTTGCCCTTGGTCTTGTTGAACTTCATGAGGTTTGCACAGGCCCACCTCTCCAGCCTGTCCAGGTCCCTCTGGGTGGCATCCCTTCCCTCCAGTGTGTCGACTACTCCACACAGCTTGGTGCACTCCATCCCGCATCAACGTCACCAACAAAGATGTTAAATAGTACCGGTGTTGTCACATATGTTCTCAGTTATTTAATTTCTCCATATGTGTCAGCATATTTTATTTGATTGCTTAAATTTAAGTTATGCTAATCATAGACTAAGCCTCAAACTAGTTCCCTATCTTTATGTCTATGCTGTTTTTTATATCAGACTTATATTGCATTCTTTTGATGTTTTATAAATCAAGCAGTAAATCTTTTATTGATAAAAAAGTTTTTTATAAAAACCCTTATACCTAAGTAATTACGGAATATCTCATGTTCAAGCAGCTGGCTTTTTTTTCTTAACAGTACTCTCAAAGAAATAGTTTGCTCTCAACATTAGCAGCAACACCTGCATCAACTTGCCTTTATCACTGTGATATACCCTGAAAAATATTTTTTGTTTGCTCCTCTAGAAAACAGCAAAAACTCAAGAGTACAAGATCAAATATCTGGCTTGGCATTTACTGTAAGAAATGCAGTGATTTGCATACTACAAAAGTTTTGCTACAACAATACAAAATAAAATGTTCAGCATATGATTCCAAAGAGCTACAAAAGCTATCTCTTTTTTTTTCCTCTCAATACTTTGACAAGACATGTTATTTTAATAAAATAGGTAAATGACTAAATAGCTGCACTGATAAAAGGGTTGATACTGTGATCTGCCTTAAACCTGTTATTTCTCATGAGAGATCATAACAACCATGACACCAAGATATACTGTTTGGTTGAACAGCTTCAAGACACGAAGTTTCAAGTCAGAAATATCATACCAGGACTGACTATTTATAAAGTAGATATTGACTACTAAATGACAACTTTACTTGACTTTATTGACAACTTTACCTCCTTATTCACAGCAAATAGCAGTCGATGCTGGAAATAGCCTGTGTGATGCTCAGAAACTCAGACTGCACCAAGGGTTTTGTTCCCAATGCCTAGGAAAATCAGTCTCCAGAGAAACTGACTGAATCCATAGCAAAAAGTAAAATGACTTCCTTCTCCCTTGAAATGCCTCTTTTTACAGCCCTAGCTAGAATTTTCAGACATCTACATGCAAAAGAAACTTCTTTTTTTTTTTTCTGATATTGAGAGGACTCTGAAAGAATATTCCTTATGATTACAAAAAGCAGAAGATAAAATATTCCTAGTCTGCAAAACGGTCAAAGTAAGGAAACATGAGAACAGGAGAAAATGAGTAAAACCAACACAACCCTTGGGAACACTGAAGTGAATGTATAAAAAGTGAAATAATATTCCCGAAGTCTACAACTAATGGTAGAGGTTTTTTGAAATATGCTTTTCTAATAAAGTAAGGCTATTCCATCCTTAAAGTAATGAGAAATAGTGGAAATACAGTTTTGTCTGTATGCAAAATCAATTAAAAAAAAAAGAAATATTTAGCACATTCACAGAATTTCTCGCATGTAGCAATAAGCTGTGCATGTAGTTCTTTAACATCCCTCACTTCTTTTGACATATTTTTTACAAGAACTACCCATATATCATCTTCAATCAAAGGATAGCACCCTGAATAATATGAATATATAACAGACAGTGTAAATTACACTCTCAGCTCCTTTCCCTCAGCGGGGGAAAAGGCCATCAAGTAGCATTTGATACACTTAATGCAGATCTCTCTCCAGCACAGACCCTGACCCCTGACGCCTGGGGAGGGCTCTAATTTGAGCTACCCCACAAGAGTCCTTAAGGGACCTATTGTCTGCTGGGTATAATTAGAGAAAAAACTCCCTGCCTTCACAGCTTCTGTATGTTATCCAGCCATTTCTCTGGGCTGAAGATAATTTGCCGCACTTTCCTGAGAAACGAGTTAGACTACTGCAACAGATTTGCTGGTATAGTCCTCCGATTTTGCATCACAAAATAGGGATTCGAGCGTTACTCAGCAGCTGTCTTTTTGGTAAGGCTCTGGATTGAGCCTATCGGGGTCCAGGCATTACAAGTCTAAAGAGTCAGTTCTCAGCAGCAGAACTATATAGAGCTTCACAACATGTCACAGACTGACACGTCAAGTAACCAATGTTATGAAAAAGTAGTTTTAATATTCACACTCACCTAGGCTAGTGCTAATCACTCAGACTTTAGATTTTATTTTTTTCATATGCAATAAATCTTAAGAGCTTCTACAATGTTAATTTGAAGCCAGTATAGATTCCTGTCATCCTGTCGAGACTTTTAAAATCTGTAAATGATCTTTTTATGGCTTTTAACATTGTTTTATAAAGATGCATCCATAAATATAGGCATTATATACATATTTATTTCTATATATGAAAATATTTCAGGAATCACCATCTCAATCCTTTTCAAAAGGAAAGGCATAACTGAATTTCGGCTGCTTGGAAAACGCAGCCTTGACTATTACATAGCAATAGCTGTTCACTTTCTTTCAAATCTGATCCTGACCGGTATCTCATTCAGGCAGCCTTATTAAGCTCTTTTGTCTGACAGTACATGCTCTTGTTTGATTCTACTTTTAAAAGTCAGACTGGCAGATACATAATCAAGCTTTGAACTTTGCTGCATTGTGCTTTTTGTCAAATGCTCTAATGGCTGTGCCTGCCAACACATCGTATCTCCCCTGCTTATATTCAGTTTGCAAGTGACATGAAAAAAAATAAAATAAAAATTGAAAAACAATCTTTCTGTACACTCAAAAATGGAGATGTAACATTTTGCTAGGATAGTAGGTAGACTGGGGTAAGTCAATTCTCCTGGGCATAAAAGTATGAAAGTTTTCACACCTGCCTAACACCCTAAACCCCATAGCTTTATATCTGTATTTTATTTTTATTAATACCTGTAATACTGCTACATATTTTGTGACTTCCAGAGCAATGGGATTATTGAACTTTTCTTTCAGATTCTTCTGTACGACAGTGCGATTCAAGCAGGGAACTGAACAGTAGCTGGACTGTTCCATGCCACCACGTGCTCTGCTCGGAGCACGGTGCCTCAGGAATTGCCTTAATGGCATCTTTCAAGGAATATACTGTCTCAATGACCGTAAAAATTGGGCACACTTTATCCCAATAACAGATGCGTTCTCCACTAGTACAGTTACAAATAGTCTATTTCCATTGTGTTCCAATTATACTCGTCATTTTTTGTTTCTTTAATGGGGTAAACGTATTACAGTAATGTCTAAGTTCTATTTCAGGTTAGATTCTAATATGGGTCAGCCACAGAAGTTGCATGGGATACAAATAGTACCTTTGCAGCCAGTGTAATAATAGGGGAATGCAGCTGTATCGCCTGATGTGCTCTTAATTGTTCATATACCTTTCTGAAGATGTGAAATTAGATTAAACATCCAATAATCCACTAACCTTTCATTTGTTTTTCACACTGTTAAAAAATATCAGTTGTACCTCTTCTAATTCATGAAGTGCTGTAAGTATCAAATACTTTTAATAATTTTCCCTTTTTTTGTCATACTTTACCATAGGCCTATTTCTTTGAAAGAAACTACTGTTTACCAACATAGAATAATATCCTGATTGAACCTTCTCCCATTCATTCTTGCATTTCATTTAATCTTTCTTCATCTTCCATTCAAGATATTTTCCTAGTTTAGTTTAGCTTCTGGAACCACGTGCTTTCAAGGATCTGCTTTATTTCACGGAACAGAACATGATCAACTGGAAAGAAATTCTGGAAGGCTAAGACTCTTTTGAGCAGGTACACACAGTTCTGACAGTTAAGCTTAATTTAAAAGGAAGTAATAATGGACAGATCAGTAGAGGCTGATTGCTACTTTGGCTGGGTTGTGCTCTCTGAGCGACTAAGAAGTTGCAGTAAAGAAAACTGAGATGTTTTTGAAGGGCTAGTGCTCAGCATCTTAGCCAAACATGCCAAACGTACTATCTACTCTAAATTCCAGACTACTTGCCGATTTACTGGTATTGGTACCCAAATTCACTCGATTCAGGACAGCACACAGATATCTCTGCACTACAGCTATACCTTCCAGCTGAATGTATTGATAGCTTCTCTAGAGAAATCTTGGGCTTTAATGATTCAAAAACTAGAAATCTTTTTATTTTCTTGGGCAATAAAACAAAATGAAAGAAAAGTACTTTCTTCTTTCTGAGGAGAAAAATAGAAGGAATCTTGATTGCAGTACTGCCATGTTTCTTGAGCAGTGACCCTGGAGATCTTACCACCAACACAGGGGTATCCTTCTTGATGTCAATCAATGTATCTCAACACTAATTATCTATTTAAGTTCACTCAGAAATTACAGTAAGAGCACTGCAATATAAATAAAACAGTAAGAGCAACTTTTTAAAGATGTGAGTGGAATACTAAAGTTTCTTATAGTAAAAGCTAATATTTGACAACTTTAGAGTATCTTGGCTGCTAGCTTTATCACAAATGCATCATTCCTTTAAGGATACTCAAGTAACTGCATTTAGAAAACAGAATACATGAAAGTTTTTGTCTGTTGATTGTTTAAGTTTTGAGTCAAAATGCAATTTGGAACAGGTTTGGATTGGAAGGATATTGCTGCTAACTTCTCCAAATTCTAGTACTCTAGGAAGCCTTGTCTTAAGAATCCTAAATGATAAACCATTGTAAAAACTGTGTATACTGGAAGGGATATACATTGAAACAGAGAAATGAAACTAAGGATCGACTGATACGATTCCCTTCATTTCCTAGGAAACGTCCACAAGAAACTGATGGGAAAGAAATTATGACTTTCTCCCAAAAAGTGCTTTAGAAAAAAACCCAGCATGTTCTTAGTATTTCTTGATAACCATTATTTGTCTACAAAAATAGGATTCTGTACTCATTCGCTATTTGGTTTTGCTTAGTTTTAAAAAGTCCTATTTCAATTTTGAGGGACCAGCATTGCCATTAAAAGACACACACGTTGGGCGTTACTGAAAATGAATGTGCCTTTAAGCATTGCCAGTGGATAATGACACTTTATGTTACTCTAACACCAAAATATACCACATATACCAGAAGTTTCCCATCAGAAGAAAAATCCCCCATTCTCAATAACTCACACTCTGAATTGTGTAGATTCTAAAATGCAATATCCTTCTCCTTAACTACAACAGAGAATCATGTTACTTCTGTCAGGAGTAATGAAATACAGTTAAGAAATCAAAGACAAACACTTGTGCTTGGATAGATAAAACAGGTTCATACTGAAGGAATCACAAAACAAAAAGTTGTTCTCAGATATTTGTTTCTTCTCCAAAATACATGATCTATGCAAAGGTCATGTCCTACAGAAATATTTAAGATCATCCTCAGAAATATCTCCCGAGATACACCCAAAGATACTAGTTCTCCTTCAACCTTATTAACACTTAATGCCACCAATAGCTTTTTCTTGAGACAGAAGATTAGTTGTTACCTGAAGCTGCTCTTCCAACGCAGCAGTAGCTCTGTCTCCACTGTTTTCATCCACCACCACTACCATATGGGTTAGAGAATTCACCTTGACTTGTTCCTGTTCCAAATCTTCTTGAAATGCCTATAATTAAAGCATCTGTGTTAGAAAATGTGTTCCAAATTAAGAAAATGTTGTGTGTTTGGAGTCACACTGACTGATTAATGTGCATAACTAACCAACTATGAGAACCTCATACTCCTATTGCTGTCAATACCCAGTAATTTAAACTTATTTTGTTACCTTAGCATATATATGGTAATTTAAAAATACTGCGCAGATTCCCATTCCTTTCACAAAAATAGCTTACTGTTACTCACTCACAAGTCCTAATTCTTGATACACTATTTCAGACTGAAAATTTGACTTCAGAAAACTCTTGTTGAGTTAATGTAGTTAATGTAGTGATAGATATCAGTATAGCGTGTATACATACCAGTAGCCCACAAATTTTAAATAGGCACTAGATTAGATTTTGTACTTCATATTAACATATTAAAATATTATAATTTGGCAAAAGTTATAAAAATATTAAAAACTACATTAAACAATCACGTATTATGTGCACCGTGGCACTCCTATAACATTAACGTAGGATGAAACTGCTGAGGAGATGACTCAAGATTAGGAAGCACATGCAGCACCCTTGTTTCACTTATTGCAGAAACCAGGAAATGAAGTGAAAGAGGCACTTTATGATTTTTGAATCTCTGAGGAAAAACTTTCTTGCCCTTTTAGCTTTGGTGCCCAGTTCCAGCTGCAAGCTGCAATAAAACTGAGGACAACTTTTTGTGGAGAAATAGTAAACTGCTAAAAGTGAAGAAACTTCTCTTAAATCTGCACAAATTGATATTTGAATAATTCCTAACCTTGCCAAATTTCTACAGCTCTTCACATCTCTCTGACCCACAATTTCCCAGGTTTCATGTAATAAATATAATCAAACATTTCCTCCCTCCTCACAGCTCACATAGAAGTGCAATGGGAAGTCTAGACACATTCACTCTTCAAACAATGGTTTACAGCATATTCACTGTAAACTAAACCTACATCACAAAAAAAAAAATAAAAATATATAAATCTGAGGTACTGTAACACCTTAGTAACACCCCCTTGGTGGGTTTCAGTGTCTCCTCTTACTTTTTAAAATGTCTTCTCACTTAACAAAACTAAAACCAGCCGTGGTCCTGTCAGACACTAGGGAACTGAGCAGCCAGACCTATTTGCTCCTTCTTTTGTGAGATACAGCAAGAAGACAAATTAAAAGATCGGGAGCTGAAGAAGTGTTAGTACTAAAGAGCCACAGAGAAGGCAATAGTCAATTTCTTTTCATAATTTTTGTTACCTATCTCCAGCTTTATATCAGTGTATTAACAACCAAATGTACATTTTTAACTCCCAATAGTTAACCACTGTTTTAAATTACTACGTTCTGTGATGTGTTTCCTAAACAAAATTTGAAAGAACCCCTCCTCCCACTCCCCTGAAAAAACCCCAAGGTATCCAGGACCACATCCTGTCTGACTTACTTTTTAGTTGTCTATAACTAGCTTCAAGCCAACAGAAGAATGTGGGAAACCAAAGTCCTGGATTGTGTTCTCAATACTTCAGCAGAGTGTATTCTAGTGACTAGTACATATATATTATGATAATCAGAGTCTGAAAAAGGGTAACCACATATGCCTTGTCACAACAGAAGCCTTGACTGTATTACAAACTATGTTGAATTTCACCATACCAATTTTTCTGCTGCTTTTCAAGTAGAGTAATTCACTTAGGTATAAAGAACAAGCCCTTGCTGAAGATCAGGTCACGCATTTTAAAACTCTCTAGTAAAACATCTTACTTTTATTTGAAAAACAAAAATAAAATATAATGTGGCTGTAAGGCAATAGGAAAGTAATTTACAGGCTACTTTGTTTTTAAGGCATAAATTCCTTACCCTAACACATTTTAGAGTTTTAATTCCTTCATGGGCATATCCTTTGAGCCAATATATTTATAAGAATCCTCCTTTTTCTGACTTTCATGCCCGCGATTACCACTTGCTTCAGAGAGCTAGGCTATTAAGCAATTCTCAAGGACTGTGAAGTACACTAAATTGTTAGAGCCATCCCTGGAATTCAGACTTCTCAACATTTTATGACCCAGCACTCGATCAATGAAGAGGAGGCAGAGCACTCATGGATCAGACTGTATAACACAGCTTGCTTCCCCCAGGTTCAATCCCCTCTTTCAGCCATACGACAGTAAATACATTGCCCTGTAAGCCTACAGCCAGGGAGACGGTGACTTTTATTTCCTGTTTAGTGGGTATCTGGTAGATGGCAACATAGAAAAAAAACAGAGTTAGCAATGCTCTGCAAGTGCAGGAGTGGAGGGTGCTTTGGAAGTGGGAGTCTCACGCACAGTGTGAAAGACTTGAGAAGTCAGGGAAATGATGAAACCAGAAAGATGAGTCATTTTCTAATCCCCAGACAGATTTAATTTGCCCTGAGCTAAAGGGCTGTTCTTTATAATCCAAGTGCCTATTTTTACTGTGAAATTCGCTGGTGACTATCATTTGTATACAGGAGCTTGTTGAAACCAGAATTTACTGAGGGCAGTCTCAAGACTAGACCACACTCTGTTCAAATAATTTAAAATGAATTTTCTAACAAGTTCTCCTAAGCTTGTAAAGATAGAAAATTTGCAGGGACTTAAAATGTAAGATGGATATAGATATTGATGCATGGGGACAGCAACAACAGGAACTCATAAAACTCCACGGTTTCTTTAATTCCTATCAGGTAACACCTTACGTGACTGATATAATCTACTCAAAGTGAATAAAAATACCTACTTAGGGTGTCCAAGTACCCAAAGAAAAATCCACCCCTGATATTTGAACAGTTAGGAAGTGTCTCATTTTACCTTTACATTGTATTTGAAGTATTGAAAAATCCTAACGCTAAAAATTTTCCATAATTTCTGACATTTTCATAAAAAATTAAAAGGCTCAGCCTTCCAAAGAAAGTACAAATACCTAAGCAGCTTAGACCTTTTTAGAAAGTTAATGAAACTATAAAATCTATTAACTATAAATTGAATAATAATAATAATGTTGAATAAGTTCAATTCAAAGCACATTATTACTTAATTATAAAATTTCTAATACAGTGTTCTGCTTAGACAGCTCAATAGTCCTCAGATTTTTATTGAAAAGCAGCTTTCTCCCTTTATAAAATTATAAAGAAAAGATACTTGCAACAGCAGACAAAATACATAAAATACCACTGTAAAGAGCAACAGTTCTTTACTGAAATGTTTGACTCTTACTCCAAAATATACTCCAAAAATGCCAGATTTCTTACCAGAGCTGTGTACCTTGCTAATGACATAAAATCTTCTAGAGTTCACCTATATTTCAGTTCACTCGGAAAATTTTCTGTACTATCAAGATATTAACCTCATATACTACTGAACTAAGTAGCATGCTGGAAAGAATGTTGTGTGCTTTCTCTGTTCTCAGTGATGGGTGCTATTTCCAATACACATTACGGAATGATTATTTTTTTGGTTATAGGCCCCAGCAGGAAAACTGAAGTGTTAGTCACAAGAACTCAAGACCAATATTTTCAGACATCATTGAGAACAATGTAGAATAAAAGAGATCAGATGTATGGAAGTTATAAGTCAAAGGGGGATAAATAACACAAAATAAATAGAGTGAAAAGTAGCTACTAATGAAAAGATAAAAAGAGAAAATCAAATGGATAAAGGTAAATAGAAGAGGAATACAGGATGACAACGAACCAAACCTATCATCTTTGCTGAGGTCTGTTTAATTTGAAATGATCTTTGCCTTTTATATCTTCTAACTTCTGGTTCCTCCCATCAATTTCTACACAGTTTCTGAGCTGTCCAGGGTCATGTGAGACTAAGAAAAGTTATGGGGCATGTTGTTTTGGGGTTTTTGTTTGCTTATTTAATAATGAAGAAATAACTGTGTTATTAAATTTCCATTTTTTAAACCCTTGTTACAGAAGGTAGCTTTGCTCTATACAATATATAATAAAATTTTCACACAATATGTGAAAGGAAAATATATTGTTCTTTGACTTATGAATGCGACAAACTATACATGAACAGAATTTTAACTGAAATTAAAATTAAAAAACCCACCTTATTAACTAAATTTTCTCTTTTACAGAAAATAGAATTGAAAGGTCATACACATAAATAAATAATGATGACTAACTCATCCCACCAAAAATTAAGAACTAGTATATTTCTGCATGTCTTCATTCAGAATATTCAAATACAAGCTAAATACCCATTTTTCTGAATAACAGAAACACCATAAAGAGATTGCATAAATAAAAAGATTATATTTTACGTTAGTATTCAAATACAAAATGCAGAGAAATAGGAATGAAGTTATTCAAGTTGTAGTAATCATGTATCCAAAATCTTTCAGGTTTCTTTCTCTAATTACCATTTCATAACTACCTGCTGTCTTCTTTTAAAAAGAAAATTTGATGTCAGAATATATGCTTAGCTAGCAAACCCGCAAACTGAAACGCATTGTCTCCTCATAGGGCAAGCACAGATAGCACAAACAGCAGCTGCAGACGTAGAATTTGTATTCTTCTTCGCTAGCACTCCTTAATCAGAATGCAGAAAAACCACTTTTAACACAGAAGTGGATTATGCAGTCTTTTGCAGCTTTTTGACCTCCTTTTTTAAAAAAAAGGTAAAAGCTGGCTTGCTTAAATTTGAATTGGGTTTTTTAGGGATGATCTGCCCTCTAGAACCCGGACTAGCACTGACACAGGCCATCAAGCACCAAATGTTAAAATCTCTCAAGATACCATAGAATGAACTGCTTTGAACCACTCACGTAGAAACATTAACAGGTTATCACAGTAAATCTCCATGATCTCACAAATCATCTCTGTTCTCTATACTTTTCTGTGTCTCCCTGTCATCATCACCATGTGTCATGGATACATCTATAAATATATTTTAAAATTTAACTTAATATGAAGTCAGACAGTTTAATCCAGTAAATGAAACAAAGATATTACACAGATTATACAGTCTCTCTCTTTTTAATTCTTAATTCTTCCAATTAAAGAATCACCATCATGGAATGTGGAAAAAAAATGGCCAAATTGTCTCTTACACTCCATTTATTAGTTTGCTATTTTTCATTCATCGAATATATTACTAAAAAGTATTTTCTACAGTTAGAAACTGGAGTGTACTTTATAGTGCTGTACAGTTACATTTTCAGCACCCCAGTAGTCCTAACAAGATTACGCAGCCTAATTATGACTACTGCATCATCGCAACTACAGCATGCAAGGAAAAAATGCAACATGTAAAGAAGAAAACACAGGTATTTAAAAAATCCAATATATTCTTATTGTACTGTGTAATGAAAGGATGTTACAGTTGCCTCGCATATTCTAGTATGTTGTTTATATTTTGAAAGAAATAATTGATTTTTTTTAATGTCAGAACAAAAGCCAGAGTTGTGATAAATAACTCTACTAGTTAGTTATAAAAAAAAAAATAAAAATAAAATGAATACTAAACCAAGATTCGATGTTACTTTGCTATGTTCTAATGGCAGGAGTAGCGCTTTTAAAATGTCCAAAACTCAAATTGTATTTTATGCCTTTGGAAGCATACCATAGCATACCTTGTGCTCTTCTACTTGACGCTTTAGGTCCTCGAGATCTGGACCTAAGGGCTCCAAATCGATTTTCTTTGTCCTTTCCTCTGTTTTTGTCAGCCAGTCAGCTAACTGGGCTAGCTGCTGATTCTGCAGATCCATTAGGATTTTATGTAAACTATGAAACAAAGAAATAACAATTTCAATTTATACATGAAAGAAAACAACAGGCAGAAATATCTGCCCTGCATACTCTTAACCAATTTTCATCAAGCTACATTTCAAGCCATAACAAAAAAACAAACTTTCAAATAGCTAACTGAAAAGTTGTTGGAACACTTTTGGATTAGGAAAATTGTTTTGAAACTTTGTTTGTAGGACCTCAGTACTGCATATAATATACTGTCTGTTAAAGTTTTGACCTCCGGTTGCATTTCTATTAGAGCTCTTTGGAAGTTCAAAATTTCTACTATCTGGTTTCTTAAAGCCTGTATTGTCTACTACAGGTACTTTGAACAGTGCTCAGACAGCTGTGTTTACCAAGCTCCCTCAAATCTAGCGTAATAAACAGAAAAGAAGAGATTATTAAATTTTCAGCTATTTAAGGGAGAATGCTCTGGAGAATTAAACAGGAAATACTTCCATTCTGCCTAAACAAAGTATTTTGATAGCTCCAAAAGAATCTGTCCAGAAATCCATTACAAAACCTTCACTTATACTTGTCATCTTTAAACGTTCTCTGAACTTTCCTAAATAAAATCATCTTACCAAAAGTATTTTTAAAACAATGTGCAAGCTATTGTGGAGCAATGGAATTGCAAGTAGTTATTTGCATTACCCATCTTTCACATAACATACAATTTTTAACTTCACTTAGATTTGACACACCAAAGTCACTGTCCACAGTCATGCTGAGCTTGGTGAAACTACTGTATGTTACAGCGTGTTACTTACATCTCAAGCACAACTCTTGCAGCAAAAAGTTAATTACCGACTTTCAGAGCTCAGCTTGGTGATCTGAAAATCTGAGTTGAACTTTCAGACTGGAGAAAAATGCTGTGTAAAAAAAGGCAGCACAGTCCTACTCCATTTGTTTCTCAGTTGGCTTCTTGAAAACGTAGCCCAAATTAGAAAACTACTGTAAATTTTGTCTCTCCGTGTCACAGCGGCACCTAGAATTGCCCAACTTCACACTGACATTTCCCCCCACAAGGATATTTTAAACAAACAAAAATAAGTACGTTTTCCCCCACAGCACCTGCAGAACTGCAGACTGGCAGAAGCGCGATGTGAACACACTGCTCCAGAGGAGCGCAAAAGGTCTTGTCTGTGACCAGGTAGGCAACTTACGCAATGCTCACACAAATCCAAACATGCAGCTTTCTGTCACGACTTCAGGTATGCTCAAGTAAAGCAAGTACTTCTGAGTTTGTCCAAACAATTTTGGATTTTCCCAAGACAGTTTGAACCAACCCAAAATTATATCATTTTGAAAATCCATGTCTAAATAAGTCCAAAGTAAGCATCATTCTCTATTTTCCCAGACTACCTTACAGTTTTCAAAGTAATAACGACAGAATATTGCATTGAACATGTACATAATTACTTTTTGGTAACATTTAAATTCTTCCGAACAACCAGGATTTAATATTTGTCAATGTCACGCAGCTGAAACATGTGAAATCGCGTATCTCATTCGTAGCCGGTTCATATTTTAAGGTGTACGTCTGAAACTTCAGCACTTCTATTGTTGATTGTTATTTATTCTATTTCCTAACTTTTTTGGAAAAAAAAAAATAAATTCTTTCCAGTTTTGAATCTTCTCAAAATAAGCATTTGGTCTCTGATGAAATATTTATATAATTACTATTTGCTGTTCATATAGTTAAAAATAAGTACTGTATGTACAGTATTAACTCCTATTGTAAAAAGAAATTGTGAAGTTTCCAGTGCTATTTGATGGTTGCTTTGTATGTATCTCAGCTAACACATACTCCATTCTTAGAGACTATTCCTCAGTTGATAAACAATCCTTGGGATCCCCTATAAATTTAGGAATGCAAAATACTCTGAATCCTGTGTATATAATAACTGTCACATTTTACAGTCGAGGGCAGAGCTGCCATTTAGAAGGTCCTAGACAGGCTGTAGGGACAGGCCAAGAGGAACCTTATGATATTCAACAAGGACAAATGCAAAGTCCAGCACCTGGGAGGAAGAACCCCTGGAATGATATAAGCTCGGGACTGACTGGCTGACAGAATTCCAGCACTAAATCTAACTGAACCTCCATCACTCTGCTATTGTCTTTCTGTCCCTGAAATGGCCTTTGCTTTAAAAAGAACAGTAATAATAGTAAATTTTGTATTGGTAAATCCTTGTTAATCTTTGTTAAATAAGAATCCTTTTTTTTTTTGTATTGAACAGAAGCTTAACCAGATAACACAAACACAGAGACTTCAAATACCCCAAAAGTAACAGTCAACAAGAATGAATGAGATATTTTCAAAGAGGCATGCAAAACGAATTATTCAAAAATTCCTAAGACTTGGGTATTGCAATCGTAAAAACTTAGCTGTTACATAAAAAAGCTGTTTGCACTTTTTTTTTCCCCAAGGGCAGCCAACAAGACTAATAATTTATCTCAGGATTATCTCTTGCATCTGGATAGATCAAAAAAACCCCCCAAAATTGGCAGAGGACTTCTGAAACAGAAATAATCAAGTGCTATTAGTAAGCATAGGAAGACAAGCCAAAACAGAGTTTCTTGAAACAGGAGTGGTAATGGAGAGAAAATGTGAAAGGCAGCCTGGGAAACAAAGAAAGAGTGCAAGTGGTGATCAAAAAGAATCCTGAGGAGTCCGTGGACATGAAGCATATCTTCTAGTGCAGAGCAGCAGACAGAGAAATGGGGAGAAACTGCAGGCAAACACCAAGATGAGCTAACTTTATGCAAACAAGTTCTGAAAAATTAAAAGTTTGCTCCGAAATAAGGTTTTAGTTACACCTGTTTCTTGAATGGTACCTTACTGGTCCCAGATGGCACTGAGATAGCATTGGGTGTTACATGCAGAGGTCTGTGAAGCTATGCTACTTTCTAGGAATGGTAATAACTTTTAAAGGCTCCAGCTTGTAGCTCTTGGAAGGAAAGGACCAAAGAAAACGAACCACAGGAACAACTATAAACAGGAACCAAAACTTCAACAGAATTTGAGACACTGAAGAAAAAAAAAAAAAACAAAAACGGTTCCAAGAAATGGGAAGGGCTCCATTAATCCAAATCTCTAAATAGTAGATATGAAACAGTAATGTTTTTTCTGTATTATCTTTCTCAAGATATTTTTTCTAAGAACACAGTGTCATGGATTTTCATGGTGTATTGTGATTTCAGGTTTTTTTACTGCAAATCCTGTGTTAATTATTGATCAAAACGACCAGAATATGCATGTGGTTTCTTTTCCACTCTAATCTCTCTCTTTCTTTACAGATAGAGTACAGGAAGCTGATACTCTGCTTTATTATAATCCATGGTTCACAAGGGATTACCTATCTCAGATCTAACTCAGTCCTTCTTCACTTTCAAGTGTGTATTTTATTGCTATACTTGATGCTCTAAAGTATTATAAATATTAAAAAGAATGCTTCATCCTAGAGATAATTTTTTTAGCAATACATGAAATACATGAAATACATGAAATAAATGATATAGAAAACCTTCTAAGAGAATTTGATTTGAAAAAAAACAAGATATGATAAAATAAATACTTATTACACATAATATGGGAACAGTCTTTTTTCAGTGGTGCCCAGTGATAGGATAAGAGGTAATGGGTACAAACGTGAACATAGGAAGTTCCATCTTAACATGAGGAGGAAGTTCTTTACTTTGAGGGTGGCAGAGCACTGGAACAGGCTGCCCAGAGAGGTGGTGGAGTCTCCCACTCTGGAGACATTCAAAACCTGCCTGGACGCCGTCCTGTGCAACCTGTTGTAGGTGACCCTGCTCAGGCAGGGGGGTTGGACTGGATGATCTCCAGAGGTCCCTTCCAACCCTGACCATCCTGTGATATTGATATTATTCTGATGCAAGGACCATAAACTTGAAAATGAAATAAACACAGAGAACAATTTAATCACAGATGATTCTTAAGCAAAATAATGTTTCTTGTTTCTTCCCATTCTCCAGGTACTTTCTAGTTTTCAAATTACTTCTATAAACATCTGATATCTTATTTATATACCTCAGGAGATTATAATAATCTTTGTTTATGGTATGGCTCTCATAAGTTTCAAATACAGAATACTTTTCCATTGAATTGAATCTGTTTTAATAGTTGTGGAATTCTCCATAAATCAGTAATTGCATTAAGTTTTCCTCTCCAGTGGTTCATTTATCACTCTGAGATGCTTTTCTATAGAGAATTGTATCTGGGGAAGGGCGGGAGGAAGAAATGAAAAAATGGGCTGTTTTTCTTCAGCATGCTAATATATTGCTTGCTAGAAGAGCAAAATACTTTCAATACATAGTGAACACATTGGAAATCCAATTTAACTTGCTTTTACACAATGGTGGTTGTGTGTTCCAAACCTCCTCTGATATTCTGACCTCCTAAATCACTTTTCATAAGACCCTTTCACTTTTATAATATCCTTTATCAGTATATCCTTCTCCTCCCTTTGTTGATTGCTTACTTTTGTTTCTCCTGTGCTGTAAAGCGTAAACCTCTTTTTACACTTCCTATTACCGTTACAACAGAGGAGACAGCCTTGCTGTTCTTTTCTTCACAAAAACCATCTCTCTCTGGATAAACATGTCACTGTTGCCTCAAAGATTAGAATACAGCAATGGGCTCAGATGATTACACTTTAAAGTGAGAGTAGAAGATAGATCCCGAGATTTTAATTTGTGTATAATAACCCAGAAATATATTACATTGTGATATGAAAGCTGTTCATAACCCTCCAGCTGGTGCCTGAAACACAGGGGTTTGACCCAATAGGTCAAAATTAGCTATATCGAAGTAGATCGCTCCTGAGAAATTTTCTCTTGTCCTAAACCAATTTCACTGAATTTATCACAGATTTTTTTCTGTATAAGAAATTAAATAGTAGCACAGCATCCTCTGAGAAGCCCTTATCACTTTGTGTCTTGCACTGATTTCATATTAACCGAACATGTATTGAACTACCTGAATATGTATTCACTATGTATTGGAAGCATTCCACTCTTCTAGCAAGCAATATATTAGCATGCTGAAGAAAACCAGTCGATTTTTTCATTTCATCCCCCTGCCCTTCCCCAAATAGGATTCTCTGTAGTAGCTTCAGAGGATACTAGACCATTCAATTCCCTGAGCAATGACTGCTGCATCTGGGAGATAAGTTTGACAAATGGTGTTAAAGGACATTTCAGTAGACACAGTACCACTCAGAGGTGAGGTTGCTACTTGCATGTGTTGATTTAAATGAAAATAAATATGGCAGATAAAAACTGCCTAAAGTATCGTAGAGTCTTCTGTCCAAGAAAATAGTAAAACTGGAGGAAGTTAGGTTGAAATATCTGAAACCCATCAAAAAGTTTATAGACTGTCAAAGAAAGATAGAATAAAGAAAACAATCTCAATACTCAGTAGTAAGCTGAAAACAAAACAAACATTTAGAATTACTAAGAACATACTGCAAAAAAAAAAAAACAAAAAAACAGAGCAATGTTATGCGATTGTTGAAATCACAGTTTACCCTTTAATATTGTGGGCAATTCTGGTCCCCTTCACTCCAAAAAGATAAGGTATAACAGAAAAAAACCTCAAAGAAGAGCAAGTTCAATAACATATATATATATATGGATAGAGCAAGGACAGATATACACTGTTGACCCTCACTTGTAACATAGTAACTAGAATGAATCACTTAAGCTACCAGCAGCAAACAAAGAAAAAGAAGTAATTCCTCAAAAAAGTAGAACTCATACTAGGTAAGAGGCCTGTGGAATTCACTGCCAAAGGATGCCATGGATGCTTACAGGTCCAAGAGGATATTGAATAAACAGATGGATTAAAAGAAAAAAAAAAAAAATCAATAGCAGGTTTCGAAATACGTAAAACTGCTTCCATCTCAGGAAGCCACCTCAGCTGAAAATAACTCGAGGTCAGGAGAGTTCTATAGAGAACTTCATAACATAAGACATGCAGTATTAGGTCAGAGCAATGGTCCATACAGCCCGATATTTGGTCTCCAGAGCAATGGGCCCATGCAGCCTAATATTTGATCTCCATCAATGGCAAAAGGCAACGAGAAGATGGTGCTTCAGGAGATTGTGTATCTCCCCTAAAGCTTATCGTTTCTTGTTCTGTTACAGTCAGGATGCTGGGATAGACCACTGGCCTGACTACTAGAGATATTCAGCTTTCATTATAATCATATTCACAAAAGAAGTCACCCTCCATCTGTATGTGAAGGAACAGACAGAATATTTTCTCGCTTAGCACATGTTCATTGGGCTTTTCTGAGAGAAAAAATTAAGACCTTGGCAGAAAGATTTTAATGAAGTCTACCTAGCTCAAAGTCCCTAAAAAGCTACCAGGGGTTACAGATTCAGGTTGTTTGCCACTGCATTTATTTAGTGTTACTGTAGAGAACAGGTATATTCTTCAGTAATTAATACTGCTTGGCTATAAACAAGCTCCTAATGACATTCAATTAATTTTAAAATTTCCACTGGAATTGACTTAGTATGATAGTTGGTGATCTTCACCATTGTTCTCCTTTACAGAAAGGGCAGTAGGCATACAAAATTCCTCATGACGAAGTCAAACTCAGTGACATGAGTTTGAAACAGAGCTATTATATCAGACAAGGATTAAACGTATCCACATAAAATGAAAAAAGAGAGGCTGAGAAAAAATTATGAAAGATCAGGTAAGTAACAGACTTTTTCTTAAGGTAAGGAAGGCAACTGTCCTGGTTTGAGCAACACAGGACTAATTTCTCTTTCAGTAATTTTACTTTTCAGTAAGGTCTCTTCTAATGCTAGGGAAAACAGCATTTTTAGAAGACTCTGGAGTCTGAATTTGTGAACATATTTACTTTACAGCCAGCTATGGTGTGTGGGTTTCAAGGTCTCAGTGTTTTTGAGCTTGCCAGGTGCAGGGATGAGGAGGAACAAGACCTGAGCACTTGACCCAAGCTGGCCAACAGGATTATTTCACACCATCCATGTCACATTCAATATAAATTCGAAAGTTTGCTGCGAAGTTCTTTCTCTCCCTTGATGGCTGCCATCCTGAGAACTTTATGCCCTGGTGCCGGACTCCTGAGCCCTTCCCTTCCTCCTGAAGCCATAGTGCTTGCAGTGTCTGACATTTCCTGTCCACTGCTGGGAGTGCACAGCTTCCTACTGATAGAATTGGCTGAGTATAATCCTTGTATATTTTATATTGCTATTGGGATCAATATTGGTTCTTTAATAATACTGATGTTAATTATTTAGTCTTATTCTATTAAATCTGTTTATATTTCAACCCTTGGGTTTCCTTGTTTTTTCAGATTCCTCTTCCCAGGTGCAGAGGAGCCATCAGGTGATAGAATAATTGTCTAAACGACAATGAGTTGTTGTGGCTTCTTCATAACAGCAACTCACACAAAAACCACCTTCAATAACTTTTCTGGTTTAACCGCTCTGTATACTGCAAAATAAAATAAAATTACTCCACCGTGACACAATCACAAGCTCTTACTTTTATGGGGTTTCTTAAGCTAAATAGCACTATGTAAATAAAAGTTTCAAACTAAGACAGAGGAATCTTAAAAATGCTTCAAAGACTAATGTGACTAATTAATAGATTATTTTTCTACTTTTAATAGTATTTCTACTTTAAGCTACAGGACTTGCCCTTTTTTGAATAATGTAATTTGTCCTCACATAAAACCATGACAATACTTCCTGGAAAGCTAAGCTCCCACTTACTATTTTTATGCAATCAAATTTTACAGGTCTTAAAGATTTGTTTCCCTTTTCCTTTTGTATCTCAGGAAAGTTTATTTCCTTTGTAGTTAAATATTGTGTGATACTTGTTGAAACAATGAGAAAAAAGGGAGGTAGGCTATATAAGTTTTGGTTAAAATGTTATTAGTGTCCAAGTTGTTGACAGCTGCTGATTTGTGCGGCTTCCAGTCTCAAAACCACATGCAAGCTTAAAAGTCACTACACATCAGATTTCAGGTTAAAAAAGACCTGAGATGGAGTTTTGTTCACAGGGAAGTGAAAGAAAATCCTAACTGTTAGTCAAGTCAACGATTAGTTCAGTCAAACTCTGTATATACTATTTTACCTGACTTATTACTTACTTGCTTTGTTTTTCCATACTTGCTACCCTGAGACGTTCCCATCGAGAATTAAGTAGATTCATTTGCTCTTGGATTTCATTCTCTTCATCATCTGAAAGTTTTCCAATTGTTAGAAGTTGACTTCCAACTTGCAAAACATTGCCAACACGTCCTTGGTGAGCTGTTAATTCCATCATAAAACCCTGACAATAAAAATAAAATCTAGGTTTAAGTTTGATTCAGTCCATGCAAAAAAGCAGACTTTGGAGAAATATCTTCTACCACCTTCCAAACCTGATCTTTAGCTTTGCTTTTTTATTTTTTCAACCCCTCCCCAAATCTCATAACAAAACCCAGAAATAAACACTTTCACTTTTTGCATAGGGCACAGTCTTCAGTATTATCTTTAAATTCTCCAAATCAAAATTAAAAATAAGAAAGAGGAATAAAATAAACTAGAAATATCTTTGTTTTGTATTTTTGACCTTATTATGGATTACAAGCTGATAAATTCCTATTGAAAGATTGGTATATACGTATACCTCATGGGTGTGAAATTGTTCTTTAACAACTTCTACATCATTGGATATATCTCCTTGTGCTTTTAACGCATCTTCAGCAGAGAGAAGCCATGTGAGTACTTCTTCTAAAGCAGTTTGGTAGTTTTCAAGTTCCATTTCAGATCCCAGCCGCATGGTGGTAAATGTCTTTTCTTCAACAGTTTCTACAAACTGATCAAACCCAAAATTTTAAAGTAATGCAAAGAGAGTCTGCTCAGAGAATTCTACAAAGGAATAAACAGAATACAATTGTCTTGTATAAAAAAACCAGCTTTTTGTTAAACAAAGAAAGAAATCAGATGGCTAATGTGTGGAAGTACTTATTAGTACAAAATCAGTTAATTGACGAAGATCAGATAAGATTGAGAGAAATAAAAAAAAATCTCAGATTAAATTATAGATTTTACAGTAGAATTCAAAATTCCTAGCAACTACTCTGAAGAGGCATTTAAATTATAACAGCAGAGTGCTGTTATAATTGTTTTTCTATAAACAGTCTGATTTTTCATTTCTAGTTTACTGTTTCTTATGTAAGTATTTTCTCTTGAAAATGAGGGAGAAATTTATTTCCCACCACAGCGAGTAAAATTATATCACCAAAAAAGCAGTAAGTCGCATGCTGACATTGCAGAGAATCTACGGAAAACAGAATATAAAAAGAAAAACAATCCTTTACACTACATGCAATACTAGGCTTGAACAATCCATAGACACCCATTTGTTAAAAACATTCTAGAAAGTTAAAAAACTCAGAAATCTCATGCCAAATTGTAACTACTAAAAAACAAACAGAAGTGTATTACTCCTTCCCACAAAGGCCACCTTTATATTTATACTTTAGAAGACAGGTGACTCTTACAAGCACAAAATTCACACTTGCACTCTATTGCTTGGAGTCAACAAGTATTTACGGATTAGTATAACAGTAGACAACTAGAACAAAACAGAAGCAAGAAATACAGGTTTGCTACAGAAGATGACATTCCATAAATTTTTCAAAGAGTTCTGAAGAAGTTTAGTTACTTTGCTAGGAAGTTAGTACAAAACCAAACTATTTACATGAAAATATGCTTATGCTTTTATAAAAAATGATACCAAGACACTTAATGTTTTTATAGTTAGTAGAAATTGCCTCTACTGACATACTTGTTCCAATAAACCACTCAAAGCAGCATCTAAAGCATTTCACTGTAGTTTAGGACAGAAAGTCAAAATTTATCACTAGAAAGCAGGAAGTGTAATGAATGTAACATGATCACTTAAAATGAAATCTTCAGTCTTCATCTTCACAACAAATTCATTCTGAATTGTATACATCTAATAATCGCATACAATTTACATGAATCTCTGTCGTGTGTGTTAGGCCAATTAAAACACCAGTCATAACTTCATTGCGACATATGAGTGAAAAACTGTTCATTAAATAAATCTGCACCATAAAACGACTTGAAAATCTGATGAACCCAGTAGTTTATTTTTTTTTTGTTTTAAAGAAAGTACTGTCTTACAGGAATATTAACAATGAGGCACAGAAAATGTTCAACATATATGCCTGCTGCACAAATTAATATTTGAATTGTGTGCAACTCCAGATTTTAAGCAGTATACAATGTAGTAAAAAATTACACCCAACCACATCACATTTCTGCAGCAAGAGTTTTGCAGTAGCACAGTCTACTGTAGAAAGGGATAACTTTATCACTGCTTTTGCATATATAATGATTTTTTTTTTTCCCCCCTTTCTACAACAATACTGCACAGAATGTACCCACATGTGACACACTGGGGGGAAAAAAGGATGCTGTAACAGCTGAGTGAGACCAGGGTTATCATGTTTGCAGATATCTGTCATGGTATCTGTGAAACAGAATGTACCCACATGTGACACACTGTGGGGAAAAAAGGATGCTCTAACAGCTGAGTGAGACCAGGGCTATCATGTTTGAAGATATCTGTCATGGTATCTGTGAGCTATCTGTTTGAAAATTCTCTATCTGAAAATGCTCCTCTCTCTAGATGCGATACAAAATATTATCATGTGTTTGACAAATGTTTAACAAAGCATCCCCTAACATGCCTTTTTCTGAGAAACAACTACTCAGCGCAACTTTCCCTAGTCATGTTGACCAGCATTTTCACTGCTTTCTCATGCTATCACAGATATTATACAGAATTGCATTATAAAAAATCTTGGGACTCATGACCTTCAGTGGCAAAATGATTCAGACTAACTTCTGCACCATTGTAATAACTCTTGAAGAAATGTAAAGACAAGCAAACACTAATGTAAATGAAAACCAAAATATTTACTTGGCAGGAATTCCAAAGTATGTTCTCATTCAAAAAATGGCCATCTTCTGACAGAAGGAAATCAGAAACGTGCTAGTGGAAGTATAGGACTCCATCTGGGGAGGAATAACCCCATGTATCAGTACAGGTTGGGGGCTGACCTCCTGGAGAGCAGCTCTGTGGAAAGCGACCTGGGAGTCTTTTAGTCTAGAGAAAAGAACACTGAGGGGGGATCTTATCAATGCTTATAAATACTTAAAGGGAGGGTGCCACAGGGATGGGAACAGTCTTTTTTCAGTGGTGCCCAGTGACAGGACAAGAAGTAACGGGCACCAACTTGAACACAGGAAGTTCCATCTTAACATGAGGAGGAAGTTCTTTACTTTGAGGGTGGCAGAGCACTGGAACAGGCTGCCCAGACAGGTTGTGGAGTCTCCCACACTGGAGACATTCAAAACCCGCCTGGACGCCATCCTGTGCAACCTGTTGTAGGTGACCCTGCTCTGGCAGGGGGGATGGACTGGATGATCTTCAGAGGTCCCTTCCAACCCTAACCATTCTCTGATTCTGTGACTTCACAGAATGGTGTCAGTAATCCTTATATTTCGTAGAGGGAGGAAACAACAACTTTTCCACCTTCCTTCAAATCTTACAGCACCACTGCCAACAGAGAACTGGGATCAGTCATGAGGTGACAAAGCAGAGGAATAGATGTCCATTGTGCTTGAAGTATAAACAGTTGTTTGTTTGTTTTAATAAAATACTCATTTCTGTATAGCACAATTGAATAGTTCTCAACTGCTGAGGCTTAATAAACTCAATAGATCATTATGCCTTCTCTTTCCCCATGCACTTTGGGGAAAAGAAAAATTAAAATGAAGATAACAATCAGTAGAAGCTGAAATAGTAGTAGCAACTTGATATTCTAGAGCACGTTAAGCATGCAGAGTATTTGTGTTCAGATTTGACAATGACATATGCACGGGACCCCCTGGGATCATCAAATGGATTAAAACAAATGATTCTTGCTGATTTCATTGATAAAATCAAGCCACAGTTACACACTTTCAAAACTGTGCTAAATTTCGTTCTGCATCTTTAAGCACATTCTCTGTTAACAAGCCAGAATGGAGCAATGGCCACCTTGATCTGAATCTATGTAAGCAAGAGAACATTCACATTGTAAAAAGTCTACAAGCATAAAAAAAATGTACCTCAGAGTCAACAGTGGGTTTTGACTTGACAAATTACATATATTTTAAAATCTACTGTTAAACTGTAGCTTCACTACTTCCATCAGTGCTGTTAGTTCTCTAAAAGATAACTGTACATCCTTGCTTGTTCTGCGTATGGAATGAAAAATCACTACTCAAATCAGCAGAAGTTCAGACTGTTGGATCAGCTGTAAATGGAATATCAAACACCAAGTTAAATAATCACATTGGAAGTGGGCAAATACTGACCTGATGCCTATGCCACATACTTTATATTAAAAAACAAAAACAAACAGAAGTGTTTCTCAAAGTAATATTCATCTACATAAGGATACCCCATGATACAAACAAAATTTGACTACACAGATTCTACAGCACAAAGAATAATCCACACTGAAATAATCCACATAAAACAGCAATGAAAACCCTGAATTTTAGAAATTATAATGGTAAGCAAATCCATTTAAAAAAACCAACAGAACAACAATCAACAACCAAACAACATAAAACCAACATCTCCTGTGAACGTCCTTACTTCTGAATTTATATGAAACCTTTTCAGAATTCCTCAAATACTGAGAACAAACTAGAATTGTAAGGTATTGCATATAATAAGTTGAGAACAAAACCACACAGGTGTTAACAGATTCATCTAAGTTGTGATGGCTGTTTTTAACCATAATTTTTAAGAGACTGAAAAGTAATTAGGATACACTGAAGTTAAGTTGTTATAGCCATATATTACTAGGAAGGCTACACTCCGGAAAAAAAAAACTGCTTAAGTATGCATGCATTTTCATTCTTGAATCAAAATCTATTCTTAATAAAGTATTTAATGATTATGTAAAACAAAGTTGATTTGGAGCAGTCAAAGCAAAACATTTACAGAGAATAATCTACTGAATAACAATGTATGCATGATGACACAAACGTTAAGGGGAAAGATGACATGAAAAATTCAGATGTGTGATGAAGACTGCATCACATCTAGACAGGAATCAGCCAGTCAGCTCACACATTATTTTGAAAAATTGCCAGCCATTTTTTCATGGAAAATAGTCCTGGTTGTTCTTATGGACTAAACTAGAAGGAAAAACATTATCTGGACCCCTATGTTGTCCTCTAGAACATACCTGGCAGCATTATGAATTAATTCACAGAGTCTAAACCACAAGCTTGCAGCTGCTTCAGAATAAGAAAGCGAGGGAAGAAAGTGTTCCTCGCCTACAATTGCATTATGTCACTAAAGGGAGAAGGATTGGACACATTAGTAAATTCTCTAAGAATGTTTCTATGAGTTCATAGAATTGTCTAGGTTGAAAGGGACCTTTAAGATCATCAAGTCCAACCATAAACCTACCACTGCCAAAACCACCGGTAAACCATGCCCCTAAGTACCATGTCCACCCGTCTTTTAAATACCTCCAGGGATGGTGATTCCACCACTTCCCTGAGCACACTGTTCCAATGTTTGATAACACTTTTGGTAAAGAAATTTTTCCTAATATCCATCCTAAACCACCCCTGGCACAACATGAGGCAGTTTCCTCTTGTCCTATCACCTATTACTTGAGAGAAGAGACCAACCCACACCTCAGTACAACCTTCTTTCAGGTAGTTGTAGAGACTGATGAGGTCTGTCCTCAGCCTCCTTTTCTCCAGGTTGAA